TTGTGTGTCGCTAGTATCTAGTCTACAGGAACTTATATCTGCGCATGACCTTCAATGACTTTGAATCACAAACAACGCTCACACCTCCCTTCGGTCGGTGTTCGCTAAAGGACTATTCACAATATGTATGTATGTATATCCTTCACACCGTGTTCAAATGTCTGTGTATGCCAATAGAATCGATCCTAGAGGTCGCTCACACTCATTTTCTGATTCTCCATAGTCAAATACCTACTCCATATCATCCATATCAGCTGGGAAATATTCGTCGACGTCATGCAATAATCCTTGAATTGAGATTTCTCCAGCATTCAATAATGTTTCACATTCATCTTTTGATGTTAAATCAATTCGAATATGACGGGTACGATCTCTTCTACTGCTCAATAGCTCTTCAACAACAAAAATAGATAAATATTTTGTTGAAAATTCATTTCTAACATCATCAATTGATATTTCGTAAGGTACTTTTTTAACAATTACCGAAAACTGGGCAGGAAAATTTTTTGGTCGTTGCATTGAAATATTTGTTTCCAAAATTTTTAACGGTAAATTTTCTGCCTTAAAAATAAACAAACATTTGTGCTGACTTCGTAAGACAAATCAAGTCCCCATTTAAATCAACATACCACAGATCAAATGCCAAAGGTTTCGAATAGTTTTTATTTTCCGCTTGAAAGTTTGTTTCGATTGATTTAATCAATTCCTGAACAATTTTCCCCCCATCTTTCGAATTTTGCAATTTTGGTATACATACAAATTTAATCGATGGAAGTAAATTATCAGTGGCATAATGAATTGCATGTGAAGAAATTTGAATTCGTTCATGTGAGTCATTTCGAGAATCATGTAATAGTTGAGGAATAGACGTTCGACTATTGTCATTCTTATTATTTCCTTGATTCATTGCCAAATTGTTAAAAATTCTGTCGCCATAGACGAATTCTTTTGCTCATTTCCATGTTCCCCACGTTTTTTTTTCTTTGTTGTTTCATTTGGACTGTTCTCCATTCGCCATCGTCGTTCATGTTATTAAGTTCAAAATTTGAATCACTCTCTTTTTCAAATTGCACACTCTGATTTGTTAAAGTGCGCTTAAATATTGTTCCTCTTCGTTCATCTATACTTTGCCGTATCATTTCTATCTGAGAATCCGAATCACATAAATTGTCTTTCTGTGCTAGTGTCTTTGCTTGATTATGAGCCATAATTAGATAAAACACTTAAATACACCTATTTTTCTTTTCTGAAAATATTATTATTTAATTTAATAAACACGTGTGTGTGTACAATAATGACGAAAAAAAATAAGAAACTTAAAAAGGATGTTGTCACTATCGTCGAAGAGAAGAATGACGTTATACGCCAAGGCTCTAATATATGTGTGATGTAACAGAGAAAGAAATTGCACATTTTTTTCCCCGAGTCAGTCAGTTAATGAAAGAAAACAAAAAGGCAGATAAATTTTGTTATAAACTTAGTCTTAAATCACTGTCTCTTGCATTTGTTTACAATATCTTATAATAACGTACCTTTGCTCTTCGATTTTGCTCTTGCGAACAGACGAAATTATCCTGTGAAGTAAACTAAATTTTGTGCCATTCTCATCGTGAAGGATATTTTACAATTCCATAATCAATTAAACAAGGTGAGAAAACTCAAATATTCTTTAAAATCGAAGACTCCTAAATAGTTTAGGTTTAGAGGTATCCTCCTAACACTGGCGTCTCATACAAAAAAAGAAATATCTGTTTGCTTGCTATAGACCCAAAGGATAAAAATCTTCGTCCAAAAATATCGTGTTTTTTCAACACTTAGGTCTGTCCATGAGTTATAACCTGGTGAACACATCATTTTTTGGTGTCAAATTCAGAGTGGAAAATCTTGATTTTGTCAACGTTATAGCATAAACTTTAATACTTCATTCTATGCTTGAAAGACGCAGAATTTTGTCTAGTATTTAATGATATGTTTCGGTTAGAATATATCGTTATGCTTTCTATAAATTCTGCGTCTTTCAAGCGTAGAACTATGTTTTATAGTTTATTCTATAACGTTGACAAAATCAAGATTTCCACCCTGACTTTGACGCCAAAGGACTGGTTGTGTTTCTTCTGGCTTATTTTAAGAATTGTTTTATTTGAGTAAAACAATTCTTATTAATATAAACAATTCCTATTAAAAAAACAAACATTTTGTTTTAGTATGCACCTGAGAGCTCAACATCGTCTGCCAAATTATTATTCAAATTTGCATAATGGTAACGTACAAAACGTTACTGCTAAACCCGCGCCAACACCACAACACCAACTCACTCATGGACGTCAGCAGACTCCGCCGGTACTGGAATCTGTGCGAGTTAATTTACAAAGAAAACTGGTTCGTCGTCTCAAAGGTGGCCGTTTAAGTGATACCGATTAATAGTTAAGGAAGATTTAAATCTGCCTCAATATCGTCATATCAGACGACTGGGAGTAAGTTTTTTCTTTTTGTCTACGGACAGAACTTCACCAAAATGAATACGAAAGTCTCATAAGGTTGTTTCTTAGAACATAGACTAATCTGACCACTATGTATGATTGTATATCTTACGCAACTCAAAAGAATCTATATGCAGTCTATCAAATTTTCATCAAAAATTAAAAAATTCATAACTCAGTCAATATCCATCCAACCAACTTCAGAATGTCAGGAAATACTATATTTTATCTAGAGCATACCCTAAAGCTCCAAAAATGTTGGAGAAACCAACAGAAAATATTCTGGTTTCTAGAAAGGTGTCCCAGAAATCTTTGGAACTAAAAGAATATTTTTTTATTACTTTGGCGCACAGAATCAGAATTGGCGGATAAAATATAGTATTTCCTGACATTCTGAAGTTGGATGCTAACGGCTACCAAAAAGAACGAAAACATAGTCCAGTTTGTTTTACGAAAATAACCCTTTTCAGAGATCGCAAAAGGAGAATAGAACAGCACAGGAAAATGATCCGAGGTACCTTCATCTAAGACTTCACTCATCCAACCCATGGAATTGTTGCTTATTCCAAAGTCGATTACTGACTTTGACTTTCTTGATGTGAGTTTTAACGGATTTAACGGCCGTTTTTAATTATTTCAATGTACTAGTATACAATCTAGACGAACAAAGTTATTTCGATATATTTTCTTCCTTTCTGTCTTCCCTCTGGGAGAGAGTAAGTTTATATGAAAGTATTAAAACATATAGACCACCTTGGCCATTTTTTCTTGTTCGTCTAGCTAAGAAAGTTAACAAAATAAGAAGAAAATAGAGAAGAACGCGTCGTTCACAACATTTAGACGAATTTTTATATTGGAAAGAAGTGTTTTTTGAAGTAAGAGCAAAACATCAGCAAGAAAAACGTGACAATAAATTTGCCTGGTTAAAAAAAGACCAAAATATATGGACACATACGAAAACAATTTTTCGTCCGTTCTCTCCCTCGTTTCGAGGTTTAACTAAAAACAATAGTAAAATAAAAGATAATCAAAAAACTGTTGATGTCCTTGCTGACTACTACAAAAATCATTTTAAAGAACCGGAAATAAACATTAATAACGAAAATCAACTAAAATGTAGGCTCATTTATGAACAAATGAAATATATTCCTAATATTCCTCTGGAGGAGATAAAAATGGATGAGGTTCTGCTGCAGTGGAAAAAATTTAAGCCGAAAAAATCAATAGATAGCTTAAATACATCTGCTTTTCTTATAAAGCAATTGCCAGTTGAATATATGGGAATAATAACAATTTTGTTCAATAGATGTGCAAGAAAAGGGAAATTTTTTGAAAGTAGCAAGCATGCAAAAGTGATATGCTTGTCTAAAGATGGGCCGTATCCGGAGGAAAGCAGACTTCGCCCGATTTCTTTGCTGCCGAATTTAGGTAAATGGTTTGAACGAATAATTCATCAGAGAATTTTAAAATGGTGCAAAGAAAATAATATATGCGTTGACGAGCAGTCTGGTTTCACTCCGGAAAGACGCCTTCAAACTCGGATATTATCGATATGCGAAGAACTTAGGCTAACTGTCGCTGCATGTAATCGTCCTGCACTGGTAATATTTGTTGATTTTCTCTCTGCGTTTGATCGTATGTGGTATCCTGCACTTATTGCCAATCTACAGGAGCTCGAAATGCCTCTTGATCTTTTAAAATGGATCTTTTCTTGGCTTTAGGGAAGAACTTTTGCAATACATCATGGTGAAGCTGTGTCAAGGATAATTGAAATGTTTGTAGGAGCTCCTCAAGGATCTATTTTAGCAGCAACTCTTTTTCGATTACATGTTCATTTTCTCCACAGATATTTTATGCAGTTAATTATTCATTTGTTCGCTGATGACTTAACTCTGGTGTGGCTTGGATCATTAGAAAAAAAACTCTCTGAAAATATGTTTGAATTAGAAATTCAGGCTAAAATTACCATGAAATGTCTTGAAAATTTTTCCGATGACAATCTGCTACCGGTAAACGTACCAAAAACAAAAGCGATGATTGTCCATAGTGCGGTATCACCGGGTCAATCGGAAATTTTTTACCGTGGTCAAAAAATTACGTACGTTAATTCAAACAAAGTTCTGGGAGCAATTATTTCAACCAAGCTAGGGTGGGGAAAGTACATTAGCGAACGGCTAAAGAATGTGAGAAGTACATATAATGCGCTGAGATTTATTTTCAAGGACATTCCGAAAAACCAAATAGCAATTCGTCGAAAATTATTTCTATGATATTCTCTTCCTCACTTTACTTTACTTTTTTGCACGTGGTTCTTTTTTTACTGAAAATCAAAAAGAGCAAATTGAGCATGTTTTTTGTTCTGGTTTGCGTATGGTATATTCGTTGTGGGAATGGGATGATGTAACAACATTAATTTTAAGTAGAGAATTAACACTGCGCGATTATCTTTTTAAATATTGGTTAAGGTTTAATAAACATCTAAATGAGTCGGCTGAAGCAACATCTTACCAGCAGACGTTTTCATCGTGCTTGAGTGCTAAATCTCCTGATAGGGTGTGGTATAGATCAATGGGGTTTAAAAAAACAGTTTTTTTCTTACTAGACTCTCAAAAAGGGAACTACTTTTGTGGAAACTAATTTTCAGTTTTTTCGGAGCTAATGCAAATTCTGATTCAGCTCTGATAAAACTGCATAGCTGATTTGACTTTTCAGACCAAACTGATCTTCGACCAGTGTAAGAGTAATAGCATGAAAATAAAGCAGATACTTTGGAATATACAGAAAAACATCGACGAAGAAATGGTCGATTTTGCAAGAAAACATTTGTGTAGTGGCAAATGACCAGAGGCAGAAAGAAATTTTGAAAGAAATGATATACGTCAGATGTGTACTTTTCTTAAATTTTATTTTAATCATATCTAAAGAATATGGTTCTCTTCCTCTGAATTATCGCTTCTCTTTTTTATGAGTTTCTTAGTATTAAACTCATAAAACTTGCTGCCACGCTCCGTTCAGTTTTCTAATAACGCATCTTGTAGAGCTTTTCAAGACGCATCGAATGGTGTAGTACAGTAGGCTAAATACTGAATAGTTATGGAGAAATTTTGATTTTACGGTAATACTGATAGTGTGACGGGGATGTTTCTCTGCGAGTAGATTTGATCGTATACGTCCAATCGGAATCGTTCCAGAAAGTGGAAAGCAATAATAATAATAATAAATAAATAAGATAACTGATATGAGTTCTGGAATAAGATAACTTTGATGAGTTCTGGATACATTGAGGCAATAAAATAATAATAATTTAGTGGACCAATTTCAAGTCTTATGCGTTTTTAACACAGTTTTAGTTGAAGAAAAGCGCTATTGAACAGGTTGATAGACTTGACATTTCACTATCTACTGATGAAAAATTTTTTTAAAGATTCATTAAGGTTAATTAATACTCTCGAATTTCCAGAGAGCCTCCATCAAATGTACATAATTCCCCCATTGGGGATAATTGTGGACAATACAGCAAAAATGGCTGGAAGAAAGTAAAACATCTCTTTCTCAATGGTGACGTTTGAGTATTTTAATCAAATCTTTCTCTCCTCTATAAAAGCTTGTTTTTCTTTATAGGTCAATCGTACAAGAACTGGCGATTTTGAATTTATAAAAAATCGAATTCTATTTTTCTAGAAAATGTCTACTAAATTTTCAGAAAATGAGTCGATTCTCTAAAAAACTACGGAAGACTTTTTAGAAAATGAAATGATTTTTCAGACGACAGAAAATTCTTAAACATTTTCTACTTTCTAGAAAATTGGCATTTTAGAAAAGCGAATGTACTTTCTATACAATCTAAAATTCGGATTTTTTATTTACTATAAAATAATAACAGGTTTATAAAAACCGAAAAATGCCTGACGATTTTATAATCGATTTTCGCTAAACAAGAAATTAGTTTCTGCTAACAGTGTAGACCAACTGGTCTAACTCGCTTCCACTCTTCAGACTTTTTGCACTACCTCGCGTTGCAAAAAGAGAAAACAACAAAAATAAACCATTTTTTGATGAGGAAAATACTAGCCGCGAACTGTCTTTGAGATATTTCTGTTTTAGAGAGCGCTTTTCAATCGTCTTGTTTGTATTATGCTCTGAATAAAAGTAATACATTTGCTCATTCTTGTTTTGTCTCGTTTCTTATAATTCTGTAATCTTCTTTTAATTGCTGAACACTATTTTGCTGAACTATTTTTTTCCACTTTCTGATGTGCCGGACTTTCTTTATGTCTATCTAACATTGTTTGTGTGTTTAATTCTACCCAACATATAGTACAAACTATTAATGGACTAGAACTAGCGGCTTTAGTCTGTTGCTCTTGTTGTTCTTTGATGGATGCAAACGATAATTCGTCCTTCACGTTTCTTTTTTCCTTTTCACTCTGCATGTACCTCTTCCAAAGATGTAAACGATTACGATGATTCTTTGGACTATCAAAATGGATTTTTGCATTTTGCTCACTGTTGAAATGTACACTGCATAGTTCGCAATATGGAGGATACGACCAACATGACCATTCACGATTTGCTACAACTATGTCTTTGCACTTAGATGTAGATGATGATAATTTTTGCTCCTCTGACGACTGATCGTTTCGTAAATCAGTTGGAGCGGACGTCAATGATGTTTCGTCAGCTGCAATACTCTTTACATCTGGACTAGTAAAATGTTGCAAGTCGTTTGCTGTCATATCGACGAAAACAAACAGATAGAGCAAGAAAAGAGACCAAGGAATTCGGCCAAGAATATCAGCTGCTCTAATAATAAACTCGTAGAAGATAACTATATCAACAACACTGCAAGCGTCATTTTTTTACCGTTATATAAACTCATAAATTCCGTAAGATGTTCCACTATCGATCGGAGAGAACGAATGAAGCAGTGGCATATTCAGAAAAATGAGTCATTCTGCGCATAGCACTGGGAAGAAATAGTGGGTTTTTCCCCACGGAACAGAAAGAAAATGCATCATATTTCTTTAACAGCATGCTCTTTTCTATTACCGATGACTATACAGTATTTCTGTGTTCTACACAGAACAAACATTGTGAGACATTCACAGAAAAAAATTCATTGCTGGTATCGACTTGTACTAGAATCCACCTACTATCGCACAAACATCAGCGTTATGTGTCATTGACCATGAATAATAAAAATAATGGCGTAATTCAGCAAAAATATTAACCCTTTGAGGACCGGTATCATTTATAAATTACTAAGATTAAATGATACCGGTCCAGAAAGGGTTAAGAGTGTCTCTCCCCCACATTGGAAACAAGCAGATTAGTAAGTCAAAGGCCCTAAGATAAAAAGCTGCTCTTAACAAGGAAGAAAGCTGAGACTTAGGGCTATCGAGTGGTAAAGAAAACGTTTTTCAGTCTTTCTTCTTCCATGCTATAACGATATTAGAAACTTTTTGTCTCTATCGTACAAATGCATTTAAATTTAAATAAAAAAACAGAGAAAATAATTATTTTATCTTCTTCATACTTAAAGAACCGTTTATTAAAAAAAATTCGCATCACTTCACTGAGTCCAAGAGATGCTCTCAACAACGTGCAATAGACTCGTAAACAGATGATGATAGTAGATGCGTCACTCTCATCAAATATTTTTCAAGACAGCTCTGATTTTTGTTTTATTCTTTCTGTTGCACTGAAACCTTTTCCTCTGAGATGTTAGATCAATGCTACAGGAGTTGTCAAAAAACAACTCATTATCAGCCGATGAGTCTTGTTATAAACGAATGACGATTTCTATGTTCTAATGAATATCCCCGTTAGGTTTTTAGAAGACTAGAGCAACATGGATTCCGACTCAGTTTTTCATCCGCTTTCTTATGCTATACTTTTTTACGCAATAACGTCACGACTTTTGCGATAATGATTTTTTCCTAAGAGTTTTGCAAAAATATCCCGATTAGCATATAAATTCTCCCATATCCGTTCGGAATATACCCTATGTCCCGAACGATATACATAGGATACGTATTCCTATCGGGATATCGCTCTTGAGACCGGACTCTATTAAGTTTCTTTCCTGTCTTCTGCTTTAAACTACCGGTAATTGAGCGCAAATATGAGAAGTTGTTCGTGCAATTCTTCGTTGATATTCGACCTATAGCACGCTGTATATGAAGAATCTTGTTCCTATTCAACTTTGCGTATGAGGTCTCATTGAGTCGGTTAATCATTTCTTTTATGAGTGTACTCATTACCCATGCTGCAAGAAGTAAAGTGTTTGCTTCTTGACAACTAGGACCAAACCATCCACTTAAGACACTTACTTTTGCACGCATCTTCCTTGACATCTACTGAAAACATCAATATCCACCTATCTGTAACAAGCTTCTTAAAACAATATGGCAGATTCACGTAAAATAAAAATTCTATTCTTTCTCTATTCTGCTTCTATTGTGCAGCATCAGAATACTGAACACGTGTATTTTTCAGGGCTAAAGATAGTTTATGGTCTAATCTAAATAGCCCGGATGATCTCACGGTAAATATTTTATGTCAAAATTAGCATTATATGATTTTCTACGTAAAGATTGTATAAAACTCGCTATACATCTCAAAAGGATGAATCCGCCTAAGATAAGGATTTGGCCATTTTTATTTGCATACTTTTTGTACTCAGAATCGATTGATTCTAGTCTTTTACGATGCGCTGAATAATTTGGTGGAGTCAGAATGGTTCCAGACCTCATAGACAAATTTTTAGACCCGAAGTACTTTTTAGGTATATACGGACATTTATCATGTGTAAAGGAAAAACTCCTCTAATTGAATTGCCTACAGGCCTCTAGCAATAATTGTGAAATGACAAAAGAATGAGAATCAATCTTTTAAATGCTCTTGACATTTGATATTGACTATGAAGAAAGCGTTTCTCAGAGTCGAATCTAGTGACAATAGTGTGTAAAATTTAATTTCTAATACGTTTTCCGGTTGGCACAGCGTTCAGAAACGCTTTCTTCATACTGAAAAATAAAAAATAAGAAAAAATATTGCATTTTCGCCATAAAGCAACACAAATTTTAAACAGTGTAGGATTTCTATCAGTCCAAGGGTTCTCCTAAATTTGTAGTAAGAGGAAAAACTGTTGGAAAATAAACTTTACATAGTATTGTCTCTAGGCTGAACTCTGAGAAATGCTTCCTTCATGGAAGACTAAGTTACAGTATGTGATTTTCAACTAGTTGAAAATCGTTTAGCCAATTCATTACTAGCTGAAGCGTCCGCTGCTTGGCGTGTACATTCATACAGCTAGCTGCAGCACCTGCTAGCCTACTTCAATATTTTTATATAATAAGGCGCAGCGAGTTATGAAGCTGGCAAAACTGCAGTGGGCGCCACTAGCTTATTTTTTCATGCTTCAGGTTATGCTTTTAAAATAATAGAGTTTTCTCTTTTAGCGTATTTTTATCTTTCTCTTGATGTCCATCACCCTTTCCTTTTTCTATGTATCCTCATGTCTGGCATACAGATATCTGTATGCGACATCAAGACAAAGATAAAGATACGCTAAAAGAGAAAACTCTAGTTTGAATCACAAGTATGTCTACTTATCTTTTTTTCTACTACATTTTTTGCAGTAACACATATACAACTGGAAGAAATCTGGTCGAAAAAATTCAAAGAGGACGTGCCCAGCACAAACATGTATATTCTTTTCGAATGACGTTATACAAACAAAATTGATCAACAATCAGCAATGTCATTAAAAATATTTTGGTCTTTAACGAAAAGTCGTGATAATGCAGTAGATTATGATGGCAACGTCTTGTTCATATTGACGTGTAAAGAA